AAAAGAATTAAGAAGACAGAAGATAACGACTCATATTACGTTTAAATTTTGGAAGATCAAAGTTTACTGGAAAACAAGAAACTGGAAAATAGCTCCACTTGCGAGGAGTATCAGAGAAGAAACTGTTAGCATAGAACTTACGGTCATATCTAGCCATTTCAACTGTAAAATGATAACCTCAATCTACAGGATGCTTCGAAAGTCTCGTCATCAGGTAGGGGTGACAAGATATTCGGACTACCCTGTAGTACTGCGGTTAAATTCATAGAGTCTAGGCGCTTAGAGGAAAGTTCATCGGAATAATTACTATGAAAATATTTACAGAAAAAGCACACAGAAGTTACGTGACGGCGGGGGGAAAGTGACTGAAACCGAGATGCCGAGTCTGGACTTATAACATTGCAGATTCTTCTTTGTATTTTATCAAGAAACTCTAAATATATAGCAGAAGCAGCAGACGAGATGCGACAGCAATATTCAATGCATGGACGAATGGTAGATTTATAAATATGTAAGATAGATTCTGAGGAATGCCACTAGCACGCAAGGGGGGGCTACAGGGTGTGAGATTGGGTATAGGGATAGGGATTGAGGAAAGGATAAAACCTGAACGGGATTCAAGAAGACAGAAGATGGTGACTGACGTTGCATTTGAATTTTTGAAGATTGTAGTTATGGAAGCAAGTAAATGGAAGGGGGGAACTGCGAGAAAAGAAACTGCTGGAGTAGAAGTGGCGGTTACATTTAACTAGTTCAACAGTAAAATGGTGGGATCATGATGCCAATCTAGTAGCACGCTTAAATTCACTTAGTCGGGGTACCAGTGAAAATAGCTCGTCAGAGCAGATGCAATGAAAATATCTGTAGATAAAACAGAGGGAATCTACATTACGTCTGTGAGAAAGTGACTGAAATTGATATGCCAAGTCAGGATCGATTACATTGCAGATCTTTCTTTGAATTGTGTCAAAAACCTCGAGATGAATAGCAGGATCACCAGTATTGAATGAACGTCTGAATAATAGGTTTGTAAATGTGCAAGATGGACTCTGACGCGAAAAATCTTCTGGTACGACATAATGAACCAACTTTCCTTGCAGTAGATGCAGCTATTGATTCAATGAAGTTGTTCCACTTCAAGTCAGTTGACAACAGTGAGACGACCTCCAGGAGTCAAACATCAACCATGCTGATGGCGGGCAGGAAAGTTTATCTATGATGATTAAATGAGAGGAGTTTAGTTTTGGAGGTATTAAAATTTACAAACCTCAGTTAACCATTGATTGAAGGTCCTTTTCAAGAGCATCAGCTAGGTTAACTATGTCAGCTCTGATGGATATGCCAAGTCAGGATCGATTACATTGCAGATCTTTCTTTGGATTTTGTCAAGAACCTCGAGATAAATATCAGGAGCACCAGATCAGATATGGCAACAGGATTCAATGCATGGACGAATGGTAGATTTATAAATGTGCAAAATGGACTCTGATGAGACAAATAAATACTAGCAGATGTGGTTTTCAGAGCTAAGGTCTACTTATAAGTCATTGTGTACAAAGGTTATTCCAACAGGAACAGAATCTGTTTAATTCTACTTTGTGTAGGGTACTAAATACTTTTCGCTACATCTTTGTGAAAATATCTCTTATAATTTTGCACAACTGTATGCTCACATTATCTTACTTCTCCTTTACCCTTATTCCAAATTCTGTCTTGCTAAATATCATTTCATTAACGGTCAATCGGTTTCGATGATAACAAGAATTTAGATCGATTGGGTTGACCAAAATTTGGTTTGCTTTTTAAGTAAATTAAGTATTAATAAATCGAACGAAATTTTTGGCCAACTCAGTATATAGCAGTGGTTCTCAGAGTCCATGATCACATTCCTGACCCTTTCTGTAGCAGGTTTCCTAATTTCTCTCCCATTTCGAGCTGTCATCGAATAATTTTTCACCATTAGGCGTATGACAGATATATCATTGATGTTCCTCCCTAATTCCTTCACTGGTGAAAATGAATTCCCATAGGTTTGAGATTCCTCCCTTTGGAGCCGAATATCTCCCTCTTTAGATCAAAGAAAAAAAAAATCACAAAAAAGGCCAAGACAAGCAAATAATGAATTTGAAATGACAAGAACATTCTAATTATTTCAACACAGCATGTTTCTCACCAGCAAACAGTGTTGTTATATTTTAGATTCCTTTCAAATGAACTTTTTTAAATTGAAGAGTAAGCGAATTCTCGGCGGACCGATGCTATACTCTTTTTCAAAATAAATTCATGATCCCAATGAGACTGACACAGTAAAATCTTTCCTTCAAGACATGAAAGTTTTGATTAGTATTTGTCCTAACCTTTTAGTGAATATTGTTCCACTAGTAAAACATTTTAAAACGTATTTTATTAATAGCAGTTGAGTATTAATTTTGATCATTTTAACGATTATACATGGAAAAGATCAAAATACAAGATGAGCTTACGTACACATCGGGTTAAAATACAATTACTGCCCGTCTAGTATTAACAAATTGTTAACATATATTCGACTAGTAGAGCAAATGAGTTCATGTTTGTGTTCAGTGCATAACTTTAAATTATTCTAATATTGATCAACTATATTTTGTTCTAGTTTCTGACGATGACATTGCTTGGCTGTATCGAAAGGTGAAATTTAATTGCAATGTTGTCTCTGTTCATTAGTTGCGTCGGATTATAGTATGGCGTTGATGGGCTGTGCAGTTTTTTGGATAATACGATTTATTTTATTTCGTACAATTTTGGGGGTTTCTGTATAATACTTTACTTTCTATTTTCTTTTTTTACATTCTGTGTCGCTTCAAGACGTTGGGGATCATGTCTCCTCACAGATGCCTTTTCTTTATTATTTCTAAAATACGGTGAGTTATTGGGAGAGATGATGGCGTTGTTTCTAATTACGCAATCCACAATTATTCAGCGTTGTTACCCAAGGCTACAGAACCCAGTTAACGCTGCTGTTTAACCCATAGCTGGTATGAGTAGACAAATAGCACAAATGCCTTTGTGAATGGCATTTCTGCTAAAGGGAACGCAATAGATTAGGATATAACGTTTGATTCTGTATTTTTAATAGGGTTCATTGTAAGTCGTAGCGATTTAATTCCAGAAAGTAATTGCAATTCCTTTGTTTACATTTGAACTGCTATGCTTAATTTTGTGGTCTCTTCTTGAATACCGTTGTTTTTTTCTGTTTTCTACAAATATTATGTTGAGATGTTATTACATTTTAACCGCATTTTGTCTCAATGGAAACCTAATATTTCTGAGATTATTACATGAAGTGTTACTTAAGAGGACTAATAATATACAGCGCCTATATTTTTGTACATTTTCTTGCTACATCATTGATATGGGGTAAAGTGAACTTTGCTACATTAGTTTTATTTTATGAATATTTAGTGGTAGCACCTGTCAGGCTCCCAGCTATGGGTAAATAGTGAACCCCCAAACAAAAATCAACGGTACATTTTTATACAAAAATTACCAAAAATAGATTTTTATAGGAAAATTAGCAACAATATATTAAAAAAAATTGCCAACAATATATTTTAAAAACTTACCAACAATACAGCGATTATTTTTGTATACAGCTTCTATCCCGTGACTTTTTGAGATGATTGCGTGAAGGGTTAATTAAGTGGAATAATAATATACGATACCTTTTTGCAGATTTTTGCCACATTTTTGAAACAGGGTAAAAGGGCCTTTGCTATATTAATTTTATTTTATGCATACTTTCGTCAAGTGAATGGTCCATTAACAGCGAAGTTGATAATTGATCCAAAATTCATTGTATATTAATAACGTTTCAGTATATCAGATAACAGAAATATTTTACGTTCATTTTGTCACTAATATCTATTCTGAACCATGTGAAAACTTAAAACATGTTTTTTTAATGCTGACTGTGGAAACAGTTTTTCTTGATTTCCCTCTTTACTTTGTTATTTAGAGACTAGCAGCATGGCCCGGCGTTGCCCGTGCTTGATTAAAAAATCGTACGACTCATACAGCAATCGCTATCACTTGACTTAAAATATTTTTGCCCTTCCTTGCCTTTAAAGGAATGCCCTTTGCCGTGCTGATGTTGTTACATGCCTTACTTCTTGCCTATCCCACACTGCGAATTTTTTCTAAGCTCTATACTAAACATTAAATCTGTTACGAAAAAAGAACTAAACAAAATGAACACAAAACTATCAGTTTTAAAAAAGGACTCGTAACTGGAAAAACCGAATGAAAAAAGAATGTTAACAATAAATACTTTTTCACACCCAACCCAATTCTGCGGAATCAGAATTAACGTTGAGTTTAAGCAAGCGAATGAGCCAATTGGAGTAAAGTGCCATGCAGATTTAAATTTTTCCCACTTGTGACGAATGCAGCTATCGATATTTTTTTGCATGCTAGTTAACATTCGTGTCAATCAGCTGTTGGCTCTCACGCTGGCCAATAAAATCGTCTTGCGTATTCGTGCAGCCAGCTATAGGCTCTCACTCTGGCCAGTACAAAATGGCCGCAAACTACATGAAAACTGCCGTAGAAGCATGAAAAAATCGATTATTTCCACTATCGATGGGAGTTGGGAAATGCAAAGTCGGTCTTGGCCTTCCCGCTAACTTGGAGCATGTGCATGTAAATTTTGGTGCAAATCCGTCGAAAATTGCGGCCGTGCTTTCATTACGCGCGCGCGCGCACGCGCGCACACACACACACACACACACACACACACACATCCTGCCTTTTATAGATAGAAATTTCACCTGATAATCTGATATACGAAGCTGAATGCTTTATGCGTGTGTCATCACGAAACCTTAAAAAAACTATAGAAACATAATTGTCTGTTCGTGTGTATCTGTGTCAATATTCCATAAAACTGTGACATTATATAAATCCGGTTTTATCATGTATATCTATTATTATGTGTCTTGTATTGTTGTCAACTTAGCGTGGGCTTACGGACATACCATGTGGAAACACCGGTTCCCGCGCAATCACCGAAGTTAGGCAACGTCGAGTCTGTTCGGTACCTAGATGGGTGACTGCTTTGGAATACCAGATGCTCTAAGTTTGGATGTGCGGGTGGTGTAATGGGTAACGACTCGAAAATGGAGAGCCGAGTTCCAATTCCAGTCAGTGTCATTATATTCACTTAGTCGCAAATACTCTCTACAAATGTATGAATCCACATTTTCTCCCTCCTGCTATGGGTTAATTTGTAGAACTTGTATCAGCAAATTATTATTATCTCTAGAAAAATCTAAAAATATTTTCTGGTTTTAAATAATTTTCAAAAGGTTGATAAGCCGTAAAAAACAACAAACAAACTAAAAAAACATAGCGGTTAGTGCTTAATAGGGGGTTCAGCAATAGTTATAATATCAATTAAAAAAAAGGACTTTACAGAAAATCTTGTAACCTCGATCGGTAATTGAACAGTATGAGTGTTTGCTTAGTCTAAACTTCTCATTCCTTAGCCATCTCTTTCTGTCCTTACCTTATACAGATTCGTTAATGCGCGCATATTTTTAAACTGATTCGCAAAGGAATGTTACCTATGCGAGTGAATAATTCAATTTAGTTGGCATCCTTTCTCTGATTTAGCCAGGAGCTTCGACAACCACGCCCAAAGAGATTTCAGAAACCCATTTTCAACGAGATGATACCATTTACGTATGAAGCACTCAATGTCGTCTGAAATGTTTACTTGCATTTTACAGCGTAGATCCAGATTTTCAATATGGGACCCCTGGCCCTCGAAAATATGATTGCACTAATAATTTAAGACAACAATCTACCTAGATTGTTCAAACTTTAAATGCCTTAGCGTAAAATATGGTAGGGTAACTCGACCTTTATTTTTCAAAATAAATAAATAAATAAATAAAAAGAATTTAAATTACGATATGATAAAACAAGAAGTAAAAGAAAAGGGTATAATTATGCAATCCTAAAGGTTCTTCGTTGAGGTTCAGGCAGGAATTTTAAAACTTTTAGGAAGACAGCTAATTAGAGAATAAGGTTATGTGTTGGCTGTAAAAGGCTAATAATAGCCGTGATTAGAAATATTAAAAATATGAAGCATCATTTGTTGGCTTTATAAGGGAAATGTTTGAAGTCATTTAGCCTCTTACTTTATGAGGATACAGTTCAATGGATTTACTTTAGTGAATGTGAAGTGCGGATGTTAACAGAGATATGTTTCGAAAACATCACGATCACAACTTTTTACTAATGAAAATTGTAAGAGCAAAGATGAATCTGCTTAGTTCTCTCTTTCTTTCTAACAAACTACTCTTTCTCTCGCTCTCTCTCTCTCTCTGTAATATATATATATATATATATATATATATATATATATATATATATATATATATATAGTGTTCGATAAGAGTGACTCACCTGATTTTTTTTACTAAAAATATTTTTTGTCTATTGTTTTGGGGTTAAAATAATTTTTAATCTTACTAATATAAAGACTCCTTCCCGACCACCTAGGAAAAAAGTTTATTCGCCCTAAGGTATTCTATTGATAATTAGAAATTTGGATATAAATGAGATTCAGGAAAAAACTCTGTGCAAAAAAGTGACTCAGATATCGCATTATAATGGTTAATATTTTGACAAAATATTAAAAACTATTTTACAATACACTCAGAACAATATTCTAGAGAATTCTAGAACTGCTTAAATTAAATCTAGAATATTCCAGAATATGCCAGAAAGCCTCATACAGTATAAAAACAGCTTGAAATAGCCACTCAGAACCACTTAAGGCATCTATTATTGCCCTCGCAAAAGCAGGCAAGTCTATGAGAGAAATTGCAGAAATTGCTATAATCTCGCAATCAACTGTCTCTCGAGTGCTTAGGGCACATAATGATGCCACTCCTGCTCCAAGGAAGGAAAAAAGGGTACGAAAGAAAAAGATTGATGATAGAACTGGCGGGGTAATCAAGAGAGAAGTTGCGAAGAATAGGACCATAACTAGCTAAGAATTTGCAGCCAGTCTAAGCGAAGAGCAAGGTGTTAGTCTTACCTCTTCAACAGTCCGTCGGTGGCTTTTAGAACAAGGCTACAAATCTTGAACACGAAGGTTTAAGCCGCTAATAAGCAAAGCCAACAAAGCCATGAGACTTGAATGGACTCACCTCACTATTACAAAAATTTCGCTGTAGAAGACCGAGATAATGTTCTCTTCTCCGATGAAACGAAAGTTGAGCTAAATTCAAAGGATAAGGTGAGTCATTTATATGGAACAGCACTATATATATATATATATATATATATATATATATATATATATATATATATATGATAAAATATTGTTTTATGTTATGCTATATTTAAGGGTAAAAGTATTCATTATGAGTAAACAAGTGTGTGTAAATATAAAAGTGGACACTGAGGTCAAAACCAAGAAATGTCAGGCTATTTCATGCTTAAACGCAGTCTTCAGACCACATATATATTTCTGATTACTCTAAAAGGTATTTTAGTGGATACGCATGTTTGAGTAGACGCCTTGCATTTTTAAACGAGTTAATTACATCTACGGTCCTACGAATACAAGACAATAAAGAATACCGAGTAAAAGTAATTCATTTTGTTTGAAAAAGTAGGCGTTTATTAAAAACATAGACTTCCCATAAAAATGTATAGGTAATAATATTAATTTTAAAATAAAATCAATCAATTCCTTATATATATATATATATATATATATATATATATATATATATATATATATATATATATATAAATATATAAATCTGTATTTAAGCAGAAATCCCTTTTTTATACATGTTTCATTAAAGACGATTGACAAGATATTGCGATTGAGCTTTAATTTTCTTGTTTCTGGACACAAAGTCTGTAAAGACTGTCCAAAAGTATATATATATATATATATATATATATATATATATATATATATGCAGTTTTGTAGAAAAATAGGAAAGAACACGTTAGGTAAGTAGTCCAGGGTTCTTTAGTATTTTTGTTTTTATTTTTAAAAAACAGTGCTCCATACAGAAGTAGAGCTTAGATTATAATTATTTTTAAAAAAATATTCCTTTGCATGTGTGTGTGTGTGTGTGTGTGTGTGTGTTAGTAAAATATTGCCTATAGATCGTAAATGTTTTACATGATATTTGTTTATATCTACTAATATGCCTTCTGGGCTTATTTTCCAAAATAGCAGAGGAGGTAAAAGAATTTTGAAAGCCAAATGCTTAAAGAGAAAATGAAGCTGATTTCGTAATAGAGAGAGATAGATGAATTTTCTAGGCCACATAATGTAGAAAGAGGGTTTGGAAAAATTAACACTCACAAGACAAAATGAAGGCAAAAGAGACAGAGTAAAGCTGTGTCTAATCTACATAACGAGCTTGTGTAAATGTCGGACAGAACATGGATTAGAAGAGATTAGCAATAAGTCAAATACAAATGGCTTGCAGGATCCTGTAATATTGAAAAAATATTTTAGTTAAACAAAAGCAACTTTCACTTTCACTTTTCCTATAATGTTGAATTTGTCTGTCAAAGAAAAGCAAGCATCAGTATGTTCATACATTCGACTTTTAGATGTTTTACAACCAACCAACCAACCGGCCCACCCAATGCTGCTGACTTCGACTGTCATTCAGGAGAGTGGTTTGAACAAAAAAAAAATATATGGTTTCTGTGATTTTTTTTTTCGGCAGGTGGCATCGCGACGGGCAAGGAAGAGACACAGAAGAAGTTTCCTGACAACAAAGAATTCTTGGAGTTGCGGCAAATGCATAAGCACGAGTAATAAACTTGTGAGATAGTCGACACTGAAACCTGAGATCTTGAAGAAGAAGAAGAAGAAGAAGAAGAAGAAGAAGAAGAAATAGAAGAAGAATAAGAAATAGAAGAAGAAATAGAAGAAGAAGAAATAGAAGAAGAAGAAGAAGAAGAAGAAGAAGAAATAGAAGAAGAATAAGAAATAGAAGAAGAAATAGAAGAAGAAGAAATAGAAGAAGAATAAGAAATAGAATAAGAAATAGAAGAAGGAGAAATAGAAGAAGAAGAAGAAGAAGAAGAAGAAGAAGAAGAAGAAGAAATAAGAAGAATAAGAAATAGAAAGAAGAAATAGAAGAAGGAGAAAAATAGAAGAAGAAGAAGAAGAAGAAGAAGAAGAAATAGAAGAAGAATAAGAAATAGAAGAAGAAATAGAAGAAGGAGAAATAGAAGAAGAAGAAGAAGAAGAAGAAATAGAAGAAGAAGAAATAGAAGAAGAAATAGAAGAAGGAGAAATGAAGAAGAAGAAGAAGAAATAGAAGAAGAATAAGAAATAGAAGAAGAAGGATAAATAGAAGAAGAAGAAGAAATAGAAGAAGAAATAGAAGAAGGAGAAATAGAAGAAGAAGAAGAAGAAGAAGAAATAGAAGAAGAAATAGAAGAAGAAGAAGAAGAAGAAGAAATAGAAGAAGAAGAAGAAGAAGAAGAAATAGAAGAAGAAGAAGAAGAAGAAGAAGAAGAAGAAGAAGAAGAAGAAGAAGAAGAAGAAGAAGAAGAAGGAGAAGGAGAAGAAGAAGAAGAAGAAGAAGAAGAAGAAATAGAAGTAGAAGAAGAAGAAATAGAAGAAGACGACGAGGAAAAAAAGAGAAAAAAAGAATAAGAACGTAAATCGTCGTGCGTTTCTATATTGTTCTATATATAAGTACTGAATAACACAGGTGAAGACATACCGTATTTCTCGTATGCTAAGACGCATTTTCCCTTAAATATTCCCTCAAAATCACCCTGCGTCTTAACACTAAAAGATCATAAGATATGCTAAGTTATATTATTACGCATCTGTTGAAATAATGCACCGAATGTTGTTGGTGAGTTAATTGAAGGAGTTAGACGTTGTCCCAGCACAACCCATATATATTCATTGGGTTATAGGTGTAGCTATTCTACAAGCCAGCAAGCTATCCTGCTGGAAGAATACATCTTTTTTCTTTCAAGAATAGCAGCAGAACGGATTAAATACTGTTCTGAATATACATGAAAATTAGCCGTTTCCTTATAAGGAAACATTCGGCATTCAT